TGGTCTACACAGGGGTACTCCTTTAGCCTCGGGACAGGTGTTTTTTCGTGGCGGTCAACTCGGGCGTCGTCCGTCTCTGGTTCCAGCTGTGAGGCAGAGGTGTACGCTACGGCCATGGCCACCCAGGAGCTTTGCTGGCTGTCTTTCCTCCTCACCGACCTTGGTGAGCGTCCTCGCTCCCCCCCAGTCTTGTTTGCCGACAACAGGTCTGCTGTCCTGTTGTGTGAGGAGCCTTGACTAGTTGGGAAGGCGAAGCACATCCAGCTTCGTTACTTCCTTCTGCGTGAGCAGCAGTAGCGTGGCCAGGCACTAGTCCGATGTGTGGTCTCTGAGGCCAACACTGCAGATATCTTCACCAAGGTGTTGCCGCCTTGTGACCACCAGCGTTTTTTCACCCAGCTTGGCCTTGTGCCTGCCCGTCCTCACTTGCTTACTTAGAGATGCTTTGTCCTTCTTGAATTGTACTTTTGCATCTTCATATATTTGCTATATATCTATTTGTGGACTGGCCTTGTGGGCCCTTGCTTGTTCTCAGAGTGTGTGGTGACTTTGAGCTCCATCCTGAGATTTGTCTTGTTCTTGTGGACTGGTCTTGTGACCCTTGCTGGTTCTTGCTGATTGTGTGTGTCCTTGAGACCCACCCTGAGACATGTGTTGCTTTCCACTGGACTACCGTCACCTAGACTATGGGGGTGTGTCAACATATATATCATATGTGTGGTTTAGTTTAGTGTAGGTGTTATTTCCTAGGGCTTGCATATATCTCCTTGTACCTTGATTCCTTAGTCAATTTCTCATGCTAATTAGTTCTTGACAATCTTGACAACCGCGGGAAGCCGGGCGGAGGTGGTAGCGGAGGTGGGCGGTTGACGAAGGACGTCAACGAGAAGAGGTCGACGCGGGGCAAGGACCGTGGAAGTGGTCAACGGTGTTATGTGATGCTATCATTTGCATTCACGTCTGTCTGCCTCCCATCATATGTTCGTGTGTTGCATGCGTGGTGTGAGTGTGTGCAAGAATTTGTGTTTGGTGTGGTTTGGATTTTCTGAGTGTGTGTGTGTGTGTGTGTGTGTGTGTGTGTGTGTGTGTGTGTGTGTGTGTGTGTGTGTGTGTGTGTGTGTGTGTGTGTGTGTGTGTGTGTGTGTGTGTGTGTGTGTGTGTGTGTGTGTTGTGTGTGTGTGTGTGTGTGTGTGTGTGTGTGTGTGTGTGTGTGTGTGTGTGTGTGTGTGTGTGTGTGTGTGTGTGTGTGTGTGTGTGTGTGTGTGTGTGTGTGTGTGTGTGTGTGTGTGTGTGTGTGTGTGTGTGTGTGTGTGTGTGTGTGTGTGTGTGTGTGTGTGTGTGTGTGTGTGTGTGTGTGTGTGTGTGTGTGTGTGTGTGTGTGTGTGTGTGTGTGTGTGTGTGTGTGTGTGTGTGTGTGTGTGTGTGTGTGTGTGTGTGTGTGTGTGTGTGTGTGTGTGTGTGTGTGTGTGTGTGTGTGTGTGTGTGTGTGTGTGTGTGTGTGTGTGTGTGTGTGTGTGTGTGTGTGTGTGTGTGTGTGTGTGTGTGTGTGTGTGTGTGTGTGTGTGTGTGTGTGTGTGTGTGTGTGTGTGTGTGTGTGTGTGTGTGTGTGTGTGTTGTGTGTGTGTGTGTGTGTGTGTGTGTGTGTGTGTGTGTGTGTGTGTGTGTGTGTGTGTGTGTGTGTGTGTGTGTGTGTGTGTGTGTGTGTGTGTGTGTGTGTGTGTGTGTGTGTGTGTGTGTGTGTGTGTGTGTGTGTGTGTGTGTGTGTGTGTGTGTGTGTGTGTGTGTGTGTGTGTGTGTGTGTGTGTGTGTGTGTGTGTGTGTGTGTGTGTGTGTGTGTGTGTGTGTGTGTGTGTGTGTGTGTGTGTGTGTGTGTGTGTGTGTGTGTGTGTGTGTGTGTGTGTGTGTGTGTGTGTGTGTGTGTGTGTGTGTGTGTGTGTGTGTGTGTGTGTGTGTGTGTGTGTGTGTGTGTGTGTGTGTGTGTGTGTGTGTGTGTGTGTGTGTGTGTGTGTGTGTGTGTGTGTGTGTGTGTGTGTGTGTGTGTGTGTGTGTGTGTGTGTGTGTGTGTGTGTGTGTGTGTGTGTGTGTGTGTGTGTGTGTGTGTGTGTGTGTGTGTGTGTGTGTGTGTGTGTGTGTGTGTGTGTGTGTGTGTGTGTGTGTGTGTGAGTGTTATTTGCCTTGAGAAGATATTTGAAGTGACTCCTCTGCTCAAGAGCTTTCCGACAAACCAAGAATCGTCGCGATCGGAACAAGAACGAGAAATATATGATCGTTCGAAGTTTTGATTGTGATGGGACGACTATGGGAATTTATGGAGTGACTCAATATGGGGTATAGACTTTTGGGGTTGGGGAAATTCGTCACTCTACAGTAGATTGATGCCAAGTGGTTGGGAGAAGCCAAACCAGTTTGGCAAGTGTGGCCAAGTTGGGTGAGGTGGATGGCATGAGTTGGGAAAGTGACAAATGTCCAAGTTGGGGTGCCTGTAGAAGGGGGAATTGTGTGGTATGGGGTTTCCTTGGTTGGGGAATCTCTTGGGACCTTCCCTCTCGTCCTCCTCATCCCCTCCTACCTGGTTTATTGCTATTCAAATTCCCTTGTGTGGATCTTGTGTGAACTTGTGAGATAAATGTGATTGAGTTAAGTTTCTATGGCAGCATACCCCCTAGTGTGCCGAAATTCATAACTCAAGTTATACTCCATTTTTTTATACGAATCGAATTGGGAAAGATAGCCACGGTTAAGGGCTACATTATACTTGAGTTCAATAACATTCGAACAGTGGACCTTCCGTCAACAACGTTTCTTATGACGACGACTTTTCTTTCCAGAATTATAGTTGACGATTTTGAGATATTTCGGCCCTTAATCTTCATAGACTCCATCCTTAGTGTCTGACAAGTGGTATCAGAGCAAATTAAGGACTTTGAGGAGAGTCTACTGAAGTGTGAAGACCCTCCTAGACCCACCATGGCATGTGGGCGTGCCTAAATGGAGTTCTGGAGGTTGCCTGTGACTTCCGCTAAGGGGAAACTCTGTCGAAATTTCGTTGGCGCCCACACTTGTGGAAATTGAGTTGGACTTCGGTGTGGACAGCAAAGGGGGAGCTGGAACCTGTGCTTGGGAGCAGAGGAAATTAATCAAGGGAGTGGAGATGCAGCTGAGAAGAGGAATGAGCCGCCACCATCCAAGATCGAGGCATTGGATGGCTCCAACTATGAGGAATGGAGCGGGCGGATGCGGAGTGCGTTTAAGCGCTACAAGCTGCTGAAACTTGCGATGGGATAAGAGAAGATGCCGGAGGAAGGCGACGCCCGCGATCGGTGGATTGAGAAAAGCGCGGTGCTGTACGACCTAATCCTTCAATCGGTCAACAACGACAGGTTCCAACACATCAAGGATTTGGTGGAGTTGGATGATTCTGGACCAAAGGCGTGGAAGCTACTGCGCGACGTTATTCAGCCCAACACGCTGCCGATGGTAATTGTGTTGGAGAAGGAGCTGGCTGCCCTCTCCGTGCGACCGGGCGATGATGTGAAGCCGGTCCTTGACAAGATAAAGGACACTTATGCGAGGATGGCAGCGGCGGGCAGCAATGTGTCGCAGATGCAGCAGTGCACCAAGATCATCTCGGTGCTCGACAACTCGTGGGACAACCTCATCCCCACCCTCAACACTCAGCAGGACCAGTGGACACATGAGTGGCTACGGCAGCAGATTCTGCAGGATGACTTCCGCAAGCGCCACGCGGGTGGTGGTGCTGCCAACAAAACTGGTGAGGGGTATGGAGCTGCAGGAGGCAGCTGAGGAAGAGGGGGAGGGAGAGGCCGAGGCCGTGGGAGAGGCTTTGGCAGATGGAGAGGCCGAGGTGACTACAACGAGGGGAATGGGAGCTCTGGTGGCAGGGGGAGCACTCGAATGGAGGGTTCCTACTGGTACTGCAAGAAGGCTGGACACCCGTGGTTCAAGTGTTTCAGCCGGCCCGAGGGATGGGTGCCTCCAGGCATGAAGCCGCCAAGTCGTGAACGTGCACGAGGTGGCGCTGTGCAAGGTTCAGGTGCACAATGTGATGGTGCACATGGTAAAGCCGACCCTGGGATGTTCCTCATGGTTGAGGATGTGAAAGGGAGTGAGGGTGATGTGGGCTCAGTTGGGAAGGTTGTGATCCACCCCCTCACTCACTGGGTGATAGATTCAGGTTGCACAAGTCACATGACCCCACGGGCAGATTTTTTTGACGAGGTAAAGCCACCTGGAAATATTAAGTTTGTGGCTGCCGCTTCAAGTGCTTTGCTCCCTGTGATTGGTGTTGGGAATGCCAAGGTGATGGGAGCAAATGAGGAGCTTGTGGGGCTAGGACATGTGCTGCTAGTTGAAGGTTTGTCCACTAACCTTCTTTCTTTGCGTCGGCTGCAGAAGAGCAAGGCTAAAGTGACCTTCGGCCCAACCAGCTGCCGTGCAAAGCTTGGGAAGCTGCTGCTGTGGAACCTGGAGGAGAAGAGCAGCTGTATCAAGGACCTGTGGCAGCTGCCCATCATCCCTTGGAACGGGAAACCACCAGCAACGGCAGCGGCAGCAGCAACGGCAAAGGCAAATGCAGGAGGAGAGGAGACTGCACCAACTGATGGGGCCGTGGATGCAATCAAGAAGGTGCAGCAACTACAGCAGCCACAGCTGCATGGGCAAAGACTTCATCTGGGAGTGGTGAGGCTGATTGGGAGACGTGGCACGAGAGGCTATGTCATGTGAATTTTCCAATGCTGCAAAAGTTAGTGAAGGATGGGAGCTTGAAGGGGTTGGAGGTGAAGGGGGCAGCAAAGGAAATTGGGAGCTGCCCTACATGCCTTGAGACCAAGTTCACGAAGTTTCCCTTCAGCAGCGGCACAGGACCAGCCAAGGCCCCGCTCACGCTTGTGCACATGGATGTGGTGGGCCCTACGAGGGCTGCTTCGCTCTCGGGCAGCCGCTACTTCTTAACCATTGTGGACGACCAAACGTGTGTCATGTGGGTGTACCCTCTCAAGACTAAGGGGGAGGTGGCAGCGGCTGTTCTCAAGGAGTGCATGCTGAGAGCTCAAAGGGAAAGCGGACACAAGGTGAAGGTGATCTGCACCGACAACGGAGGAGAGTTCATTGGCAATGAGTTTGAGGCGGTGCTGAAGAAGAAGGGCATTCAGCATCAGCTCACAGTGCCCTACAACCCTCAACAGAATGGCGTGGCTGAGCGGTTCAACCGGACCCTGCACGAAGGTGCTCGCACTCTCCTTGGGCGTGTAGGGCTGCCGGATCCGTTTTGGGTGACTGCACTGCGGCAGGTCAATCTTGTGAAGAACAAGGTGCTGGCGACTGTGGGGGAAAAGCAGTGGGTCCCCTTACACGAAGTGGTATGGGAGTGCACCAGCAATCAATATGCTGAGAGCCTACGGCTGCATGGTGGTGTTTCATGTGTCTAAGGAGAAGAGACAAAAGTTGGAAGCTTCTGGGAGATGGGGTGTGCACTTGGGGATTGCCAAGGATCACAAGGGCTGGTTGGTGTGGGAATTGACCAGCCAGAAGCTGACTGTTTCGAGGGATGTGAAGTTCCTTGAGTCACTGTACTACAAGGAGTGGAAGCAGGAGCAGCAGAAGCTTCCTACTACACCGCTGATGATTGAGGCTGATGAGGTGCAGCGGCCTTCGAGGCAAGTGCAGGTCACTGTCTCAGAGGAGGAGCTCTCTGGGGTGACTGAGGATGGGGGAGAACCTGAGGTGGAGGAGCAACAGCAGCAGCAGCAACAGCAGCAACAGCAGAAGCAGTAGCAGCAGCAAGATGCTCCACCACGTGCCCAACGTCTGCCTGACCGTCCTAGAAGGGATGTGCGCCCTCCTAACAGGCTGACCTATCCTAGTTTTGGAAAGCCAAAGGTGGTATGGGCTGGGAGTGTGGCTGAGCAGTGTGATAAGGATGAGATAGCACACTGCTACTCGGCAGCCGTCCCTGAGCCCAAGACGCTAGCTGAGGCACTGAGCGGGCCCGATGCTGAAAAGTGGAAGCAGAGTGTGAAGGAGGAGTACGAATCTCTCTTGGAAATTGAGACATGGGAGCTATGTGAGCTGCCTCCTGGGAAGAAGGTCATTTCTTCCAAGCTGATCTTCAGGCACAAGTATGGACCTGAAGGGGAGCTGGCCCGCTATAAGTCAAGGCTTGTGGCTAAGGGGTTCCAGCAGACAAAGGGAAAGGACTTTGACGAGATCTTTGCTCCTGTGGGGAAAGGGACTACACTGAGGATGATGTTGGAAATGGCTGCAAACCGCGGATGGAGGATCAAGCAGATGGATATCACAACTGCTTTCCTCAATGGGATCATTCTGGAGGAGCTGTACATGCAGCAGCCTGAGGGGTTGGATGATGGGAGCGGCAGGGTGTGCAGGCTCAAGAAGGCCATCTATGGCCTGAAGCAGGCTTCTCGCACATGGTACCACAAGCTGGAGGAAACACTGCTGATTGGGGGGTTCAAGAAGAATAAATGTGACCACAGTCTATTCCTGCTGCAAGAGAAGAACGAGTTCCTCATGCTCTTGGTGTACCTGGACGACATCCTTCTCTTCTCTGAGTTGTCTGCAATGATTGAGCGTGTGGAGGAGATGCTGGAGATGCAGTTGAAGTGCTCAAAGATGGGAGTTGTGAAGTATTACCTTGGGATGCATGTGGAGAGAGACCTCGACAAGGGAGTGTTGAGGTTGCACCAGAGGAATTACTGTGAGGGGTTGGCTGAGAAGTATGGGCTACAAGATGGAGGAAAGCCAGCCACCCCACTACCTTTGGGTTTCACTGTGGAGCCCTGTGCTGATGAGGAGGTGGTGGGTGAAAGTGACAGGAAGCTGTTTCATTCCATGGTTGGGGCACTCAACTACGCGGCTAACCACACGCGGCCTGACATTGCCTTTGCTACATCCAGGCTTGCCAGTGTGGTCTCACGCCCAAGTCATGAGCAGCTAGAAGCGGCCAAGAGGTTGGTCCGCTATATGAGTGCTACAGCATCTGTGGGTTTGGAGTACAGTGCTGTGAGGCAAAGACAGCAATGGGGTGCTGCTGATTTGGGCAAGGGGGAGATGCTCTTGACTTGCTACACCGACGCTAGCTTCAACTCTGTGAAGGCGGATGGCACTAGCATTGGAGGCTATGTGTGCCTGTTTGGAGGTGGTGCAGTGAGCTGGCGCAGCAAGAAGCAGAACGAGGTGGGGCTGTCCTCGTGTGAGACCGAGTACATGGCCCTTCATCATGGTGCGAAGGAGGTGGTGTGGTTGAGGCGTTTGTTGGAGGAGATTGGTGTTTGTCAGAGGGAGCCGACTATGATGTTATTTGACAATGAGTCAGCTGTGAAGCTGGCCAAGAATGCATGTCTTCATGGCCTGACAAAGAACATCAGGCCAAAGTGGCATTGGATGAGGAGGCTCCTGGACAAGGATGTGCGGCTGGAGATTGTGAAGACCCATCAGCAGGCGGCTGACATTCTCACCAAGCGCCTCGCTGGACCTGAGCATTGGAAGGGGATGAAACTTGCTGGAATGAGTGTGCATTGAGGGTGCATGCTTGAACTATGGAATGTGGGATGATGGTAGGCAGCCAGAGGGGGAGTTTGTTATGTGATGCTATCATTTGCATTCACGTCTGAATGCCTCCCATCATATGTTCGTGCATTGCATGCGTGGTGTGAGTGTGCAAGAATTTGTGTTTGGTGTGGTTTGGATTTTCTGAGTGTGTGTGTGTGTGTGTGAGTGTTATTTGCCTTGAGCAGATATTTGAAGTGACTCCTCTGCTCAAGAGCTTTCCGACGAACCAAGAATCGTCGCGATCGGAACAAGAACGAGAAATATATGATCGTTCGAAGTTTTGATTGTGATGCGACGACTATGGGAATTTGTGGAGTGACTCGATATGGGGTATAGACTTTTGGGGTTTGGGAAATTCATCATTCTACAGTAGATTGATGCCAAGTGGTTGGGAGAAGCCAAACCAGTTTGGCAAGTGTGGCCAAGTTGGGTGAGGTGGATGGCATGAGTTGGGAAAGTGACAAATGTCCAAGTTGGGGTGCCTATAGAAGGGGGAATTGTGTGGTATGGGGTTTCCTTGGTTGGGGAATCTCTTGGGACCTTCCCTCTCGTCCTCCTCATCCCCTCCTACCTGGTTTATTGCTATTCAAATTCCCTTGTGTGGATCTTGTGTGAACTTGTGAGATAAATGTGATTGAGTTAAGTTTCTATGGCAGCATACCCCCTAGTGCGGCGAAATTCATAACTCAAGTTATACTCCATTTTTTTAAACGAATCAAATTGGGAAAGATAGCCACGGTTAAGGGCTACATTATACTTGAGTTTGATAACATTCGAACGGTGGACCTTCCGTCGACAACGTTTCTTATGACGACGACTTTTCTGTCCAGAATTATAGTTGACGATTTTGAGATTTTTCGGCCCTTAATCTTCATAGACTCCGTCCTTAGTCTCTAACAGACGGCAGGAGTGCTGGATCTGTCACAACCCCAACCATCTTTCCTATGGGTGCCCCGACCGGGAGGACAGCGACGAGGACGACAACACAACAAGGGAGGCTGCGGTCGATCGGCCAGTCGTCGCCCCCGTCGAGATGAGAAGTCGCGCAAGGAGAAGCAGACGTCGAAGAAGACGTCGTCGACGAAAGACGTCGACAACTCCTTCGGCAAGGGCCGAGGCAATGGGGAGGCGTCGTGCTCGATGGTCGGCATGGTGGAGCCGACAGTCTCGCTGGCGCCGGAGGCTGGCGAGGACTTCCAGGCGGTGGAGGCAGATGTGCAGGCAAACCCGATGGCGGTGCTGCTCAACAGCAGTTGCTCCCACCACCTGATGGGGACGAAGGCGGCCTTCGTCGACATGGCGCCGAGCGACATTGTGAAGCACGTGCGCGGCTTCAACGGGGCGTTGCAGCTTGTCAAGGGCCGTGGAACCATCGCTCTACAAGGGGAGTACAGATGTGTCCTCATCCTAGACGTGCTCTATGTTCCGGGAGTAAATACGAACCTGCTGTCAGCTGGCCAACTGAAAGAGAGCAGAGTGCAGCTGCAGGGCGATGGCGACGAGATGCTGCTCGTCGCCACGACCGGGGAGGTGCTCGGTCGAGCACGCTACACGGGACGAGTCCTCTGCACCGACCTTCGCCCCTGCTCGATGCGGTCGCCATCGACCGAGGTGGTGGCTCTGCGGACGATCGTCTTGGCGACGAAGTCGACCCTTGACCGGTGGCATGCGAGGCTTGCGCACGTCGGCGTTGATACGATCAAAAGCTCGGCGAAGCATGAAGTTGCTACTGGGCTCGACATCAAGCCGTCGACCGGAGCAGACCCGCCGTGTGTCTCGTGTGTCGGAGGAAAGCTGGTGCGGCACACCTTCCCCAACAAGGGCTCGGACACCAAGGAGGCACTGGCTGTCGTGCACATTGACTTGTGCGGACCATTTTGGGTGGCTGCCAAAGATGGCAGTTTTACTTCCTACTGCTGAAGGATCGCCACACTCGGTTCGTGTGGGCAATGCCGGTTGCTAAGAAGAGCGATGTGCTGCGGGAGTTCCAGCAGTGGCTGGTGCTGGTAGAGCAGCGAATGAAGAAGTCGGTGCTGATGCTCCGCTCCGACCGAGGAGGGGAGTTCCTCGGGAAGGAGTTTACCAGCTTCGTCAACAGAAAGGGCATCGTCCACAACCTGACGTGCCCCTACACTCCGTAGCAGAACGGCATGGCTGAGCGGGAGATGCGCACACTCGTCGAGTCCGTGCGGACGATGATGTTGCACATGGGCGTGCAGCACCACTGGTGGCATCTCGCTCCACGACAGGCCGTCTGGGTGCGCAACTGCTTGGCACTGGCCAGTGGCATCTCCCCTGTCAAAGTCAGCAGGAGGTGAGCAGCCGGTCGAAGGGTCAAAGCAGCTGGTCGACGACGAGGACGTCAACGAGGAAGGGGAACGGTCGGCAGGAGAAGAGTCCACCGACAGTGACGTGGTGGAGGTTCCGGTCGAGAAGCCTGAGTTGCAACGCACAGGTCGAACTCGGAAGCCACCGGAGTGGATGGTCTTCCACGCCTGCCTGCCGCCAGGTGCATTCACCACACTGCTTGAAGATGCAGAGGCGGATGTTGATCTGCCGAAGCTCTACCCTGACGTGCATGCCGACCTCAAATATCGCTGGGACTTAGCGACGATGACAGTGAAGGAAGCGCTTGCGAGCTGGAAGGGAAAATTAGTGAAGGCTGCCATGGATGAGGAGATCCGCAGCCTCATCGGCATGGGTACATGGGAGCTGCTCGAACGCCCACGCGGGGTGAACATCATGAAGAACCGGTGGGTGATGATGACCAATTACTGCATCGACGACACCGTCAAGCGCGAGAAGGCGATGCTGGTCGTGAAGGGCTTCACGCAGGTGTATGACGGCGACTGCGGTGAGACGTACTCGCCGGTGAGCAGCTACGTCATGCTGAGGATCTTCCTCAGCATCGTCGCCGTCCTCGACCTCAACCTGATGCAGCTCGACATGAAGAACGCTTTCCTGCATAATAAGCTCGACCAGGTGCTGTACATGTACCAGCCGGACTACTTCGATGACGGGACCGGCCGGGTGTGCAAGCTGTTGAAGAGCCTCTACGAGCTGAAGCAGTCACCGCTGCTGTGGTATAGGGCTCTCGACGGTGTGCTGCTGGGCGCTGGCTGGAAGAAGAGCCAGGTGGACACGGCGCTCTACTTCAAGGTCGGCGACGACAAAGTGACCTGCTGGGTGCTGGTCTACGTCGACGA